GAAATCATATTTTAATTCTCCACGACAAAGACTGAAACTTGCAAAAAGGTTCTATACAATGAAACTGTATGATTCTTGTATGTCAAGAGATTCTAAATTTCCAAGGACTTACCCTTCCATGGGAGGCCTCTTCTCTGACATAAGACCATAGCCGTATCCCCAAACGAACCTATAATTCCCAAAAGTTACAAAAGAACAAACTTTTAGGAAACTCCAAAAAATCACATTTGGTGTTTGGCATCAAAGATAATACAACCATACGACCACAAAATGAAGAAAATACAACCATGCAACAATATAAGATGTCTTAGTTACCATTTTAACGGCTTCTCTAAACGTTATACTGAATTCTTTCAGGATATTTGCATGACAGTTTAGTCTCCTCCTCCATGCGTGTGGTGGCGGAGCAGCACTATCGAAATCAAGCTACAAAATGACCATATAAGAAAGGAAAAGAAATTTAAAGACGAATCCAATTTCTCCAATCGAAACGATTATTTCTCGTCATCTTAAATTTGACTTACTAATTGCAGGGTGTTTCTGCTGATAAACTCCTCTGGCGGCCATGAATGCTTTCTTCGGTGAAACAAAGTTGCTCCCACCATTTTTCGACTAAATTCTCGATTCTACACTGATAACGACCAATGAAATTGGTCTTAAACTCTCAACACGAACTCAAAAGATGCTTTACCTACGCATATAAACTCGTTACCTTTTTATTTACATCAAAGAACAAAAACGTCTTCTCAGGGAAGCATTTGCATCAAAAAGCAATCCCAATGAAACGAAGCCGTTTCAAGTCTCAACCATCTCGGCTTCAATCGTCGCTATCAAATTCAAAGCCTAAAGTAAGTTGCAGATGAAAAATGCATTGGCGTTAGACGAATCAGAGAGTTTGCATAGAATTTGAACACAGACACAGATCACAAACGTACCGGAGAGTCTCGAAAATTCGATCTATCCGTCGACAAGACAGGATACGATTAAAAAAACAACTCAAATAATCAACGCTTTGATGTATCTCATCATAAAATTATTGTATATAAGAAGAATTTATATCTATTTTTGACTTGCAAGAAGAGTTGTTTTCTTGTATTATTGGGGTACGCCTGGGCAACACTGATGGTCCTATGGACACATATATGTGTAGCAGTTGCATAATCTTTTTTTTTCTACTTCAACACATTTTCCTCTCACATACGATGACTTCTGGCCCCGGCAAATACGGCTACACTCTTCATCTGCGTTTGCGTTTGGTTTAATACACAACGTTGGCGGTGCTCTACTACTTGGATTTCCCTTACAGTATGGATTAGGTTTAGGACGTGCTGGTACGATGTTATCTGCTGTTTTCCCTGATTAATAAAATAAAAATATATAAATCTTATTAATTTTAAATGCATAGTATTTAGTTTTCTACGCAAAACATCGTCTAGTTTACTTCTTTTGTATATTCTTATCATTCTATGAAGTATATATATATATATATATATATATATATATTTTGGTGAAGTATTTATTTGTATAGGAATGTAATAGTTTATTTATTTCTAAGTTTTATATTCTCAAATTGATACAGATGAATTAATTAATTAGTTAGAAGACAAAGAAAACACATTCTTTTTTTTTCTCAAAATTTCATTTTTTTAGTTTTTTAAATAATCTCTTTGTAAGATAAATCCTTGTAAATTAAGTTTTTAAATAATCTCTTTGTAAGATAAATCCTTGTAAATTATATTGTGAAAAAAAACAAACACAATTTTTTTTTTTTAATTTATGCTAAGCGTCTAAAGTTAAAGAAAAATATATATCGTTTGTTAGACGCTAAAAATTGTAAATTTTTTTTTGTTAATCGTAAAATTCAAATACAAACACAAAAAAATTAGGAAGATTTATTGATTAGGATGTGTATACCTGTAGGTATCAACAAGGATATCATCAAAAGTGCAATGAAGCGAACTATGATTTCACTCTTAGTCATTTCTTTTTTACTTCTTCTTTTTAATTGATTGAATGTTTGTGTATCTCATTGTCAATTTATAGTATATAAAGATTATTTAATCTTAAAAAAAGAACAAAAATAAAAGGTAGCCCATAAAGAATGCCTACGTTACTTTTTTTGTTTTTTTTGATAATTCATGGTCAATCTCAATCCTATGAAAATGCCTATGTTACGCTTAAAATAAAATAAATATATTCTAAAAAAAAGAAAAGAACTAGTAACGCCTAATATATTCAGTCGATATGTTATTTTTGATATTATTTTAAAATTATTATCTGTTTTATTTACTTATTTCTCCTTATTAGTTATTGACTAGAGTTTTTATTTGCGAATACGGATGCATAATAGTTAGGGAGAGTTGGTTTAATATTCTAAATTTTTTTTCTAATTTGAAAACTAACCCTCTTATAAAAAACTTTGAAAACTAACTTTTTTAATAAATGAAAAGACAATAAAACCATTATTCAGCTTTTAAATTATAATTTAATATATATATATATATATATCTTAATCTTAGTTATCTTTAAATTTCAGATATATAAAAACAACAGTATTAGTCATTTTTATCTCTGATTTGAAAATATTTTTCTCTTTTCTTTTGATTCATCACAAATTTTCATAATCTTTTGCACTATTTTGAAATATGTAAAAGACCAAGATTCACTTTCTAAAATGCTTATGGGATACTTTAAAGCTAAATTCACATTATTTTGTTTATCTATAGTTTGAATTTCAAATCAGTTCCTCAAAATATCTTTCTTTTTTTTATTGTTAAATCATCTTAATAATATTTTTGGGGATTATACAACAATTGTGTATATCACAGAAAAAATAAACATTTTTTCTTCTTCTTTTCAGTTATAATAAAACTAAAACAAATGTTTATTATTCCCTCTGTCCCATATTATAAGTAGTTTTAAATTCTGTCGCATAATATAAATAGTTTTGATATTTCAATGCATTTTTACTTTGTGGAAAACTGTGTGACCATTTATATTTTGTAGTTGTTTTTTACTATTGGTTGGATTATAATTAATTTATATATTAAATTATACCTTTTTAAAGCAAAACAATTTTCTTAATTCTTGTGTTTAAGCTGAAACAGCTTATATTATGGAATAGAGGGAGTATTATCTTTAGAATAATGAAAAACTACTTTTTGATATATCAGTTTTAGACTAGAGTGTTATTTTGATTTTTTTTTCATTTATTTTATAATTATCTAAATAAAAATAATTCTATTGTAAAGGCCCCATTTTTAAAAATTTGCCATGAGCCCCCCCTTAACCTTCGCACGGCACTGACCGTATTAATCGTATGTTAAATAGTTAAGGTTAAGGTTAACAAAATTTCTAACCGTAACCGGTGGTTAAATAACCTTAACCATGATAACCGTAACCGTGGTCATGTCTACTAATTATTATTCAACTTTCACTTTCAACAGTTTTATTGATCCACAAACACGGACGTGGAATATTAATATATGACACTAATAAACGCAATCATCGATCCACATGATATTTATTCGGATGCGGAACTAGGATGACATTTCGAAAAAGTGCAAATAGTTATGAGATAACTACAAAATAAACTATACTATATATAGTAATGGTTTTAGGTTTTTAGAAACTGAGTTTTGTTAGATCCGAGATAGCACTCGTCAAGACGGGCTATCAAAGATGTGAGTTTAAGAAACTGGAAGCTTACATCAACTCGAAGAATAAATAGAAAGTTACAAAGAAATTATCTCGCTAACAAGCTTGTCGAGATAATTGTGATGAACAAGAAGAGAAAGTAAAATGGTTGCAAAAGCCTAGTAATTTTAGATGATCTCCGATGCCTTTTCTCCAATGGAGGGGGGGAGGGGGGGGGAGGTCTTCAATATATAGTGTTCATAAGTCGGCTGATGGGTGAATATTTTCCTTCCGGCGAGATGGAAAACTTCCTCTTTTGCGATATAGAAAACTTCCTCTTGTTCTTGATTTCCTTCCATTCTTCAGGTCAGCATGAGGGTTTGTTTACATTTTCTCATGGATTGTGCCTTCCTTCTCAAGTTTTGCCTTTTTGTTGAGGAAGTTAGGCCTAAAGTCGGATTGGGCTTTGTGACTTTACTAATGATGACGGGCTCAGGGAAATGTGCTAATTTCTCCTCTAACAATAAGTCCCCCCCACCAGCTTGGAAGTCAAATGCGGTTTGATCTCGGCGAGTTTCATGAATAAGGAGTGAGTTCAAGAATCATTAGTAAAAATACACCGTTCCAACCGGATTTTAGTGCCTAAGTGCGTGCTGAATGTAGATTCGTACCGCCTCGTTAAAACCTCGGTATGGAAAAACCCAATTGGGACAAAAACCATAAGAAGGAAAAAGAGTACGTTGACGTCATCTAATTCACAAAACAATGTGCCTCGAACAATCTTTGCCGAGACCGAGAATGCTTTCTCGGTTCGAATGCCGTGATGAGTTCTGTTTTTATCTATGTCATGACTTCTCATTCGAGACACCGACCGGTGCGTATTAGGTCTGTGTGCTTAGGGTGTTAGGCCTACTTTCAGCGACGAGCTCTAGAAACTCGATTTATGCTTCCGACTTCAAAGCTTCGTGCGGGTGACGAGGTAGCGGTTTTTCGCTCGTCCGACGAACTGAGAGCCGTGCGAGGTGCGTGCTCTCGGCTTAATGAATGGGTGATCAGTCCATGTTTTTAGGGTGCAAAGTGCAAGTGCTTATCGAGTTTGCCTCAATAATTTTGGTTTGACGTCAAACGGGTGCGTGCTTTATATTCGACAAGTTTTTGCTTATGCCATGATGAGGCGTGCTTGTCGAAGTGAAAGAACTTTAAATAAAATAAGTTTTAGTATCATAGCTGCGCCTTTAGTGAAAAAGGCTGCCAACGTACCCATGCCGGGATCAAGCCATTCGTAGTTCGTTACAAATGTTCGTGTCATGGACATGTCTTCTTCTTTTTTTTTTTTTTTTTTTGGCTAGTGCGGTGCTTCGCGTCTAGTCATGAAACTTGCGCAGCTCCGTTGAGCTCCAGAGGCGTTCGGACGTGTTGCCAAGGTTGTCTTCGAGCTGATAGATGCCTGGCTTGACAACTCGTGCGACTCGATATGGTCCTTCCCAGCTGAAGCCGAATTTGCCTAGGCGGTCGACCCTATCGTCGTTGGATTTGCACAAGATAAGGTCGTCGAGTGCGAAGCGGAGGTGTTGCTTTAGGAAGGCGGCTGCCAGATCATCGAAGCTATCGATGGAGTCGGCCCGGAGATCATGTTAGGGCTTCGCCACGCAAGTGTTCGGCGAGGGCTTGGCAGAAGTGTGCGCTTTCTTCTCCGGTGACGCATATTTCTGTCTTCTCATGGTTGTCATGAAGGACGAGATCCATTGCTTGGGATCGTCCCGGCCGTCGTAGAATTTAGGTGCAGCGAGGTACGTTTCTTCAGTGGTATCTCGGAGAGGCGGCTCGTCAGGGGGGTCCTCCGAATGTCGGCAATGATTTCGATATCTCCTGATCTGAGAATGAACACTGCGGAGAAGCATGGCGGTCGCTCAGCGCGCGATTCTCTATGCTCCTCCGGGTCTCGTCGTCGTAGACATGAGCGTCGTCTCGGCAAGGGGATGAATTCGTGACGGCATCTTGGTGCTTTATGAGTGGATCCTCCTGGGTGGAAGGATGATGACCTTCTCTTGTTTCTCAACTGGATCCGAGGATCTTTCGGGTCGAACCGTAGCTGCGGGATATCCTGCTCGATGCGAACGTAATTTTCAGCGCGAAGGAAGGCGTCCTTCAAGGTTGAGAGGGGCGGAGGCGGAAGTCTTCCCAAATCCTAGATTCGTCGGAGTCCGTTTCCGAGGGCTTGGATGAGTACTGGTTCTGAGATTGGGGGTGCTCCGGGGATCTCGTCGAGGTCGAGCAGCATGCTCTTGAATCTATCCAGTAACTTCGTAGCGGTTCGTCCTCGAGTTGTTCCATTTCGAATAGATAGAGAGCTTCTTGGGTTTCTTAGTGCTCATGTTGGATCTTAAGTCGGATTTCCAGGCGGGCTCGGAGTTTCTTTGTTGAAGGATCGGGGGGATAGCCTCTTGCGTCGTGGCGATGCGTCTCGTTACGTCGGATCTGTTGGTCTCGTCATCCGATGTTGGCCTGATTCTTCACGAGGCTGTTGGTTTGGGGGCTCGATACATGAAAGATGACGCGGTGCGGAGCTTGCGTTCGCGAAGGAAGCATGATCGCGTCACTCTTTGATCCCCACGTAAGGTGAAAATTCCGGAAGGCATCGGGAACTTCACGCACTGGTGGAAGTCGAGATGACGGCTTTCATTTCATGGAGCCAGGGGGTGCCAAGGATTGCGTTGTAGATGGCCGGTTTGTCCATGACAATGAACTTCAGAGCTTTGAAATTCCGCCGACATAAACGGGGAGCCGGACTGTGCAACTGTAAACGTGCTCGGCGGTGAAGCCGGTGAGGGGACGGGATGTGGGTTTGATGGACCTTCTCTTCCACTCCCATGCGGTCCATGTTTCTAGGAAGATGAGGTTCACCGTGCTCCAGTGTCAACCAGAACCTTCGCGACGTCGCAGTCGTGAATCTGCAGAGTGACCACGAGTGGGTCGAGGTGAGGGATATCCAGCTCGCTCGCATCCTTATCCGTAAAGGAGATAGTAGGGATTCCTTTATGGATATATGGGTAGCGTTGTGCCGTGACGGCCTTTCGCTCGTATTCCTTGATCGCCGATATGGAGTCGTCGTTATCCAGGAGGCCTCCCATGATCATGCTGACTTGTCGCTTCGGCGGTGGGGGTAGGTCGTCGTGGTCGTCACGATTCCTCTTTTCCCAAGGCGGGGCTTCCGCCTTTTCTGCATCCTTCCTTCGGACGGGGTTGTCGTCCGCGCTTCTCCTTTGTCCAGATTTTGGTGGTCTCGGCGGGAAGCTTTTTCCTTGGGACCTATCGCCGTCCATTGGCGGGATTTCTCCTCGATGGTACATGCGCATAAGGTTGCTCATAGGTGTTTGCAGTTTTCAGTGGCGTGGCCAGTTCTCCCGTGGAATTTGCAGAAAGCTTTGGTGTCGTTGTCATCTCCGAGCGGAGTTGATGTCTTGTGGCATCGAAACGCGCTGCGTGCTCTTGCTCGGACTCGTCGTCGGCTGCTGCGAACGCTGCGAGGAGAGACCTCTTCGGATCGTGTCTTCTTCGTACCTCCAGGTTCCTCTCTGGGTTTCGACGAGGTTGCCCTCCTATCTCCATGCTTCTCGGCATAGAAGCGTTTGGTCTTCCTCGAGGAAGATGTAGTTCCGGAGCGGTGGAACGCGTCCTCCAGAGTCGCAGGGGGTTTTAGTGACAAATCCTCCTTGAACTTGGAGTCATACCAGAGGCCGTTGCGGAGTGCTTCCAGTGGGACGCTATCGGGCATGTCGCGGGCTGCTTGCTTGAACCTTCTCCATAAAGCTGCGCAATGGTTCACCTTGGGTTTGCGTTGTGGTGAACATGTTCCGAGTGATTCGGGTCATGTGCATGGAGTAATGCTTTAGGAAAAGCATTGGTTAGGTCGTCGAAGTTATCGATCGACTCGGCGGGGAGGTTAGAGAACCAGGTCAAGGCATCTTTCGCCATGTGCTCGACGAATACTTGACAGTAGTTGGCCTCCCTTCTCGTCGTAGATTTGTATTTCTCCCTCTCATGGCGAGGTTGAACGCGGTTAGCCACTTCTTGGGGTCTTCTTCGCCGGTGTAAGAGTCGATTTTGAGTCGAACTCTTTCGTGCAGATCGATCTGGCGGAGCCTGCGGGTGAGCGGGCTTCTCCGGGTATCGGCGAGTGCTTTCGTCAATTCCGGGCTGAGCTGGTGGCGCGATGGACCTTTCGTCGACCTCGTCGAGACGACGATTCATTCGTTCGAATTCGACAACCTCGTCTGGTCCAAACTCCGGCTATTTTACTCAATTAAGTCCATTTTTAATCGAATAATTTTACTTTTGGCCGAGTGAAACTTATCCAGCTGGAGATTGTTACATGATGAGGTTTCTTTGTGGGCAAAGGTTTTGAGGAGCAAGTATAAAGTGAAGGAGGTGAAAGATGCGGCTTGGTTCAGTACAAAGGGCAATTGGTCTTCTACATGGCAGAGTGTTTTACGTGGAATGAGAGATGTAGTGATTCCGGCGATGAATTGGGTGATTGGTAACAGGTGCACGACACACTTTTGGAAAGATAAATGGCTCTCAGGGCAATCGTTACTGGAGCTGACAGAGATCCCAGAGGCTCTTACTGAGTCACGGGTGTCTAATCTATGGCAGAGCAGGTCTGGTTGGTTGCTTACCCAGATTGAGTCATATGTCTCGGTGGACACAAGACTAACATTGGCAGCAGTGGTGGTGGATGAAGTCACGGGAGGCAGGGACAGAATGTCTTGGGGATTGACACAGGATGGCGAATTCTCAATCACCTCAGCGTATTCCTTTCTCACTCAGGATGCCAGACCGCGACAGTGTATGACTGGACTATTCACACGGGCTTGGCATGTGGCGGTCCCAGAGAGAGTCAGAGTCTTCCTATGGCTGGTGATTAACCAAGCTCTTATGACAAATGCGGAAAGATACAGACACCACCTTAGCGATACTAATCTGTGTCAAGTATGCAGAAGTGGAGAGGAAACTATCATACATATCTTAAGAGATTGCCCTGCAATGGAAGGTATATGAAGGCGCATAGTTCCTTTGAGGAAGAGGCACGAGTTTTTTGAGTCTCCGTTACTGAGTTGGATTTACAACAATCCGGGTTCCGAGCTTAATCTAGGAGAGTATAAATGGTCAACATGCTTTGCGATGCCAGGGGCTGGAAATGGAGATGTGGCAATGCATTCGGATCAAATGGGAAGTGTCGTGACCGTGTGAAGTTCATAAAGGACATTGCCAAAGAAGCTGCATCAGCTTATGCCTTGAAACCCGACAGCGGAGGTATGAGAAACAGAGTGGAACGACAGATAGCACGGAAGCCACCAATGCAAGGCTGGTCGAAGATCAATACTGACGGAGCGTCGTTGTAACATCCATAAACCAAAAATTGAGAATTTTGTCGGTTTAATTTAAGTTATCCGGTTTATACTGGTTTAAGGGAAAAACCCTAATTCGCTGGAATAAAAGAGAGCAGCCGCCTAATTTTACACAGTTTTCGAGTTCAGAGGCAGGAGAGGAGAAAAGTGGAGTTTCTGGAGCAGAATTTTGTTACTTTTCGTCGAAGTACTGTTCATCGGTACTGTTTATCGTCGCGATTCGGCACTGTTCATCGTCTTTCTTTTTTCCTTCAGTTTTAATTCATTGTCAAGGTGAGTGCATGATTGTGGGTCCGCGATTTTCTAGATTCGAATTGGTTTGTGGTTGTACTTGATGAGTTTGTGTTTGATTGTTATTTCAATGTATTTTGATAGTTTCTGTGGTGAATA